TTAAGGATGATCAAACACTCAGGCGGCCCGAATCGACCGTCAGTCGACAATTTTTACCCAAAAAGCAGCAAGGAATCAGTGAAGCGTGGTCCAAGCAAATTCAAGAAAATGTTCGTTTATCGACATATTTTAAGATTTTTTCGCAGTAATTTTTGTTGGTGAAAATTTTGCCAAGATTTCCCCCTTAAAAATCAGAAAAGCTGCGTACTACCCAACAGTCATAGCTAAGGAGATCGGAGGAAAAAAAAAATCAGAAGCAGGAGGGGACGGGATGCGCGGAAGGTATGGGAAAAGGAGAGAAAGAATCAAAACCAGGATATCCAAAGAAGGGGACGAGGATCGGGTAGAAAGTACTGCGTACATTGGTTTCCTGCTCCTCCATCTCATTCAGCTTAGGACCTTACTGGTTTTTTTTTGCGTGTCATTTTTTTGTACAGTGCTGGCTCACACTCTGGCGTTCGTGAGTTCCACAATTTCTTTTTTGTTTTTGTAGCAGTTTTTCCAATGTGTGTGCTGAATTTTCAAAACGATGCTTCAGCGCGAGGATCCGAAGCAGCCCTTCCCATACACGCCATTCAAATCAGGCTCTCTGAGTAAGGCTGCATCAGTAAATGCACTTCGTGGAGGTACACCGAACCCACAGGTTGGCCCAGATGTGTTGCAAATCTATGGCATCCAGCAGCAGCCAGGTTAGTTGGTACCCAAGATTTGTTTTTCGTGTATTTATCCTACAGTTATTGAAAAGTCTTTGAAAATTCACTTTTGATTGGCTTAAACAGGCCTGACTGGGACAGGACAAGCTTATAGCAAGCAAAAAATAGCGGCAGCCACCAGAAGGTCAGCGCAAACACACTCCTTTGTAGGAGAACTACGAGCTGTTGCAAAAAGATACAAAGTTTTGTACAAAATTGTATTAGCTTACCATTATTTTTCCGTGTTTAGCGTAAAGGACTGGTGTTAAACATGACTGCGGAAGCTAGGGCATTCAGTTTTTAGGATATCCACGAACAGTTCCGGGTATACAAGATACGATACGAACGCATTACAACCCATACAATTTATACGGTAAGAATTTCGAAAATTTGAGTCTAATGTTTATAGCCATCGTTTTCGAGTATTCTGCAGTTGATTGAAGGCTTCCACACTCGTAAATGCACAGGCACATCACCTGGTGGTCGGTATAGTACTGGGATCTTCTAGCCTTTTCATTTTCTTCTTTCGGGAGTGAACGAGAAAGGGAGCGGAGAACACACTCTCTCTAGAGAAATGTAAATTAGA